CCCGCGTCTCCTGCATCGGCAGGCGGACCCTCAAGCACTGCGCCACCAGGGAAGCCCACATTTCATCTTTTAAGAGGACATTTTAAGAATCTTTGTTGTTGTTTTTGGTCTCTGGGGGAGACAGATTAAAATTCTTCCCTGAAGACCTGTTTATTTTTTTCTCCAGACCCATAAAAAGTACTGTTACCCTTTATAAAATGTACCTTGTTTTCACATGCGGTTATGTTGACACATTGAAAACTGCTTAAAAAAACATAATTCTACTGAGTGTGTAAAAGTGAAGACATGGCCGGTAGAATCAAGGAGTCATTTAGTAGCTGTGAGAAGATAGCTGCGAGAAAAATGGACACTATTTTCAAGGGTGGGTTTTTATATTGTCAATAAGTTGATGCTAACGACCTTATTTTTCTTCTTAGCCAGTCCTATGCCTGTTTCCTAAGTTCCTAAGACCAATGATGAAGGTAGAAGGGGAGGAGTTGGGGGAAGGGAGGCAGTGACAACAAAGCAGTTGCTGTTATTGCAGAAGTCAGAAAATCAGCGTGGCCAAAAAGGCTGGATACTGTGTTGCTTTGAGCGTTGTCAGTGATCTGCACTGATAAAAGGGAGTGAGACTGAAACTTGCCGAAGTAGAACAAGGGACTGGAATGAGCATTTGTTACACACCAAATTCTTTATATACCTGTCTCATTTAGTCCTTAGAAAGTAGTAGTAGGTACAGGTAGAACTAACATAGTTCTTCATCCCTTCTAGAATAAATACTGTAAATAAAGACAGCAGATACTAGCTAAGAAACAGTAAAAGATCTAAACTTCAGATTATCTTAATAGCTTCAGTGGGGTTTAGTGGGGTTTTGTTCTTATTTAAGAGAGAACCAAGCAATAGTTTCAAATGATGTACAGTTCATAATAGCTAAAGAAAATGATTAAAAGAGTAATGTAACAGCAGTATTAAAAGAAATCTCAAAGGAAACTAAATATTGCCAACTCAGCTGCCACGTGTATAACTGTTTTAAGTTTTTTCCTGTACCCACATACGTATATTTTTACCTATTGCAATCAGAACAATTTGATCTACTTTTCATTTGATGCATTTCAGACATTTTCTTTTGTTACTTCAATTTTGTAAGGTCTTATTTTGGGGTGGGAGTAGACTTTTAAAATACAATAGAAATCAATTTCATGTTTTATTTATAGAATTTTATGACACTGAGTGAATGGATAATTGTAAAATTTGAGCTGGGAGCCATTTTGTAATATACCCAGACAGTAAACAAAAGGCAGGAAATGACATTCCTTCTTCCAGTCGGCTTCCCATTCAGTCAGTTTACAGTTTGGTGGCTGTCTTTCTACAGATTGGGAACGGATCTTGTTGTAGCATGGATAAACTGCCAGGAGCAAATAAGTCACAAATAATTCTGTTTGGTAGTTTTTTAAAAAATCTACATTTATGTACATCTAAAATACTTGCAAATTCTTGTTTTAATTTTTAACACATGATAGTAGAGAATGAAACTTAACTTTGTAACTAGATTATAGATAAAGTTATAATGTGCCTGTCTCCAAAAAGGCAATCAGTAAATATTTTTGAATAAATGAATGAAATCTTCATTGAGGTTTTCTCTGCATATAGAATAAAGGAGATTATTGAAGTTATTTAATAGTTGAAAAAGATTTCCAGATAGCCAAACTACCTCTAATGCTAATAGTACTTTGTGATATGCTAAGTAACCCATTGCTGGAAGTATTTAAGAAGATGTTGTATGGACATCTTTCAGTGATGCCTGTATTAGGTGTGAACATAGGTTTATAATAGCCTATAGTTCTACAAAATATCAACCAAAATAGTTGGTAAGCAAGTAGTCCTTTGTTCCTTCTATATCTTATCACTAGTCATCATTAAAACTAGGAAATGTTTAAG